TCCACTTCCAAAAATAGATAGGGCCTGGATTTTTCAGTGGTAATGACAGGAGTTCCTACAATAAAACAGTGACTATACTTCAAAAGTACTTCACTGGCTATAGTGTGATTTATCCTGTAGTTGAAACGTTCTTTAGGAATGCAAGAGTTTCTTTCTCTCTCAGCTGTCCTCAGGACTGTAACGATTGCTGGAAACATGCTCCAGTTATCAGTTAACTCAGCAGCAACAGAAACTGCACCAAGGTCTTTCCACATTGAATTCATCAGGAGAGGTGCTATGGTCTTTGGTTTCCAAGATATAATCTTTTGGAAAGACCATACCTAGAGGAGAAAAACTATCCAAGTTCCAATTTGTCAACTGTGTGATCTAATAAGACTAATCTTCTAGGATACATCGCTTAGACATACAAAATGTATTTTAAGGATTTTAAGTGGAGTACTAAAATCCTATTACTGCAATTACCATGACTACATAGATATAACACAATCAAGCACCGGGAAAATCCTCATCCCAGTGTTCAGTTGTACAAGGTCTGATTCTTTACATGAATTTTTGGGGAGTCCAAAGCTAGAGGGGCATAGCTTTAAGGTGAGAGGGGAAAGATTTAAAAGGGACCTAAGGGGCAACTTTTCACACAGAGGGTGGTGTGTGTGTGTGTGTGTGTGTGTGGGCAATGAGCTGCTGGAGGAAGTGGTGGGCGCTGGTGCAAATACAACATTCAAAAGGCATCTGTATGGGTACATGAATAGAAAGGCTTTAAGAGGGATATGGACCAAATGCTGGCAAATGGGACTAGATTAATTTAGGATATCTGGTCAGCATGGACAAGTTGGACCAAAGGGTCTGTTTCCGTGCTGGACAGCTCTATAACTTAAGACAATCCATATCAATGCTGTAGAGTGGAACACTTTTCTGTTTCAGACACACAGCGTCAGTGCCAAGCACTCAGCAGTACTGTGGCTTGATGCTCTCATTTTGCCCCACTCTTAGAACTGTGTTGTCTATTGCACCTTGTCGCATTTACCATCTCTCACTCCCACCATCCTATGATTTGAATCTTAGTCTCAATTAAGGCAATTTGGTGGCACGGACTCATGTGCCACTGGGGCTAAGATTGTCCAAATAGTGGATATCAAACTCAGATCCTACATCTGAAAGACCAGTGTGCAAATCCATTGCACAGCACAGTACTTTATTCTTTCTTTCTCTTTGCCTTGAGATTTACTTAGCAGATCAAATGAAGGAATAAAGCCAGATTACCACTGTTGGTCCATCCAACACAAGGACTATAAATTTTTCAAACCTTTACAAAAATTGAAATTAAATATAGAGTTTCAATTTTAAAAATCACCTTGTTGCCGAAGTTTGTAGCACAGATTCGAGATTGCTGGGTCAATCTCACCCAGGCCCATCTTTTGTCCAGCTCCTTTTGCAGCGTATCTTGATCTGAACTTAATCATCGACTCTCCTGTCTCATCATTACTGCTATCATCTTCATCCAGTTCATTATCTACATCGGACAACCCCTGAACAACATCATAGCCCACATCATTTAGGAAGTCCTCCTCTTCCTCCTGAAATAACAAAACATGGTTAAAGCACCAGGGTGCCTTTCAAAAAAAAGAGAGATTATCTTCTAGGCAAACACAAAATTAAGACAATTTATGTTTACTAAGATAGATCAGTGCCCCCATTGTTAGCCTTTTTAAAACCATTTTACATTTTCAGTTTATGAAAGTGTGTACTGAAAACAGAAGCTCAACTCGAAAATTCTGGTGAGAGCACAAGTAACAAGTTCCCCTCATCAACCAGAAGTAGCAGAAGTCACTTCAATTTCAAGTACTGACACTGACAATTCCTCCACATTAACAAAACAGAGAAACAAGAATTCCTTAACATCCACTCAAAAACTGAGTCTAATGGACAAATGTACATTACTAGGTATTAAAGCACATTGTCACACAAAGGGGAGTGGAAATGTGGAAGTCTTCCCCTAAAAAGCTGTTGAGGCTGGGGGACAGCTGGAGTTTTCAAAACTGAGGTGAATCGATTTGGTTGGGTAAATTTATCAAGGACACAAGGCCAAGGTGGTTAATTGGAATTGAGCAATGATCTAACTGAATGGTAAAGCAGGCTTGAGGGGCTGAATGGTCTACTTTGCCTCTTAAGAATGATTAAGTAAAATCAATTGAAATTATGACAAAATGTTATGAGTAAAGAAATGTTAAGGAGCAGCCCTCTCATAAATTATCCTCTCAGCTACAGCTAAAAGACAGACTGAAGACAGTTCCCTCACAAGGTGAGTCAGCCCAACAACATATGCTTTTTAGCAGCGTTTATCAGCCTATTGAGAAAATGGGGTTTGCAAACACAGAAGCAGAAGAGCAAGGTTTTTGGCAGTTTTCCCACCTCATTCTTACACCACCACATTCAGTTCACATGCTACAATTATTGGGACCACTTAAAGGTAACATATGACTAGCTCAAACTTTATTTCACTATACCTCTCGTGTGACGAGCATGCCCAATTCCAACTATATACCACAACGCACTTTCAATGAACAGTGACTTTGGAAGTGTTCAGAAACAGAATACCTGATTTGCTCCTTTTGTTAATTTTCTTTGCTTCTTGTAGAGTTCTTTTCTATCAGAAACAAGGCCCATGCTGATCAGTTTATCAACAATCCTGGCTCTGGATCGTTTGGTGGTTATGTTTTTCATGATATTACCAAGGATATCTTCAGATAAAAGAGATCAATTTCATCAAATTGTATTTTGCCTCTTTTACTCAGATTACAATGTTCTAGGTTTATGGACAATTCATTGAGTTTTCATTCAAAACAAGAATGTTATTTTGAAGAGCTTTAAACGGTAAAGATAATGAGGAACTAACTCATAACAGGCTGGCAGACTGAAGGAGATGTGATTGCTGTTTAGCAATGAGTTAGTAAGTTATAACTTATGGTGATAGAAGAATCTCAATAATTTGCTAAGTCAGAGGAAGTGAGGGGTATCTTATGAGGAGTTGTTTTTTTTTTTTAACGAAAACAACAGAAGCAAATGAATTCCAGCTACTTTCAACTTACCATCGGATTCTCTGAACTCCACAAACAATGTCTCAAGCTCCATTTCTTGCTCCTCTCTCCAAAGCACAATCTTAGTTCCTTTCCTTAAAGGAGCAAATCAACATGTTACAAACTAAATTCAAAACAAGATGGTTATATTTCCCACAGCATGGTTTGGAATGCTTTGCTAATGATAATACCCCAGAGGGACAGGTGGAAGATGCTGATTAAAGTTGGGGGTGAGGTGGGGGCTCCTGCTTCCATCAATTCTATTTAAAATGAGCTTTTAGGCTGTGATCAAGAATAGCTTGGTGAACCTTCCCTTAGATTTCCCTTCCATCACAGGTAGGCCAAGTAACCCTGCATGTGAATAATTATGGATGCAAAGACATGTATTACTTCACCACCATGAAGTGCCAGTGAACAGTACCACTGTCTGTGAAACAATCAAGCTTCATACTGAAGGGAATTATGAAGAAATTAAGAAGCAAATCTGAAGAAATAACCATCCTCGTGATCAAACTAACACTGCAGGTTTTCAGCTTGTGATCAGTTTCTTTAATGTGCTACCTGGTGTCACTTTTCAATGTTTTGGCTACGGTCCTCTAGTTGGTAAACAGTACCACAAACACTTACTTGACACGCTTTAAATCTCTTATACTGTCCACGAGGTTCATTTGAACCAGTTTAGCAGCAATCTGCCTCCTGGTCCTTGTGTCATTTTTAATGCATTCCATGATACTGTCAATGACATCTTTATCTGTAAAAGGAAAAAAATCACAACGCAACAGAATGTCTACATTTTGCTTTCCAAATGTGTGTCTGCAACCATCGGGATTCAAGATTCCCTCTAGAATAATTAAACATTGCACAACAGAAATCGAGATCATAAACCCGACTTTGAATTACAGAATAGTTACAGCACAGAAGGCCAAATCAGCCTGTTGTGTCTGTACTGACCTTCTGTAGGAGGAAAGCATCATGTGCCATTCCTACGCTTATTCCCCATATCCCTGCAAATTTTCCATTTCCAAAAGGTGATCCAATTTCCTTTCGAAAATCTTAATTGAACCTCTCTGGCAGTGCATTCCAGACCTTAACCACTTGCTGTGTGATCCCGATTGTCCTCATATCTCCATTGCTTCTTTTGTCAATTACCTTAAATCTGTGCCCTCTGGTTTTCAATTCTTCCACCAATGGGAATATTTTAACAAGATAGTGAAAGAGCAGTGAAGTGGGCACTAATCGGATAGATCTTTCAAAGAGCTGACACAGGTGTGACAGACCAAATGGCCATCCTCTGGGCTGTAAAGATCTATTACAGTGGAATTTAAATAAAACAATTGGGGAAACAAAAGCTACTTGATATGAGATATATTCAGAAATGACCCAAACACAACATATACCTCCTTGTTCCTCTTTGAATCTTAGATACAATGTTTCAAGTTCCTCCTCTTCCTCTGATGACCAGGTTGGAGCCTTTTTGTTTACTCCACTGCAAAAAATTCAAAATCATTCACTATCACAACTGCAAATGAAGGCACACTTGTGTTGGTGACTATGGGCTACTCTCTAATCTCAGACTGATCCATTTCAATAATGGAAAAAAAAACACAACTTGGTCAGCAAGCACAATACCATAGTAGCCAAGTCCACTGTGGCAATCAAATAATCTAGCAACAATTGATCATTTCAGTCCTACTGTGGTCTGCACGGATGAGATAGTTCATCTTAAAGTAAGAATTCCCAAGGCTATCAAAATGGCAACAAGACTAGCTTTTGCATCCCTGGGTACAATTACAATGTTTAAAAGACATTTGGATAGATACATCAATAGAAAAGGTCTGGCAGGATATGGGCCAGAAGCAGGCAAATGGGATTAGTTTAGTTTGGGATTATGTTTGGCTTAGACTGGTTGGACCGAAGGGTCTGTTTCCGTGCTGTATGACTCTATGGAACATCAGATTAATTGATGGTTTTAGCACAATGCAGAAGACAAAGACCTCCCACATTCTCATGATCAATGCACTTGCCTTTGCTCATCCTTCCTGTAACCTTCAGTCATTTCTCGAATGGTTGCAATATTCTTCCAGAATAGCAGCTCCACAAATACTTTGTTGTTATTAGCAGCTAAAGTAAAGAATCGGTTCAAAACATATTTGGAGAACTTTACCAGCTCCTATTGCAAAAAGAAACAGAAGTTAACTGTTAGATGCATATTGTCTAGCTGCAATGGTCAAGAGATGTGGTTTGAGAATCAATATGACTAAGTAACTAGCAGGCATCCTTGTTCTCACAGGAGGGTATCAGTCCTGCTAACTTCGCAGTTATGGGGTCAGTAGCATAGTGGTAAAGTTACTGAACCATTAATCCAGAGGCCTGAGCTAATGTTCTGGAGACAAGTTGAAATCCCACCATTGCAGCTGAGAAACTTACATCTAATTTTTGATTTAATTAATTAACGAAAGGCTACAATCAGTAATGGTAACCATGAATCTACTAGATTGTTGTTAAAATCTCATCTGGTTCACAAAGCTCCTTCATCAGGGTAAGAAATCTACCACATTCATTCTGGTCAATTACAGGACTCCAGACCCATAGCAATGTGGTTCACATTTAAGTGGCTTGCATTTCAGACAGCAATTATTTGTATCGAACCACTAAAGAAAGATGTGTGGGTGTACTACACCACATGGATTATACTGGCTCATGAAGACAGCTCACCATCACCTTCTCAACGGCAACTGAGATGGGCAACAAATGCTGGCTTTGCCAGTGATTCACAAATTGAATGAGATGAAGGAGGATGAATAAAATTTAAAAACAACCTGAATGGCTATGACCTGTTTGTGGATGTCAGGCAAGGAGGATCAGGCTTTAGAGAGACATCCACTTCTGACACTGACCATCTAGGTTCACAAACTCAGGAGCGAGGAGAACGTTAATGCAACTTTCAGCGGTCAAATTAGCACAGAATATCAGTTGGAACAGCACTGTAGTTAAATTGTCTTGGGGCTATTGACACCAAGAGCAGCTAAATTCTAAACTAACTGCTGCATTTGTCCCATATTAAAAAGTAATCCAGCAAATCGTTATGGAAAATACTCAGAACTAAAAGTGAAATACTCTGAATAGAAATTCAGGAGTGTTAGGAAAAATTGCACTGCGTATTGTCAAACTTCATTGTTTTGAAATTTAAGGTTCGTGACACAACGTTTCTTTTGTAGGTCAGCAAGTACAGTGGGTGACAGTGAATGGGACGGTGCTCCAAAATATTACAACATCAATGACAGGAGACAGCAAGTCCTTTAGCAAATCACCAATCAGCAGATAATGTACAATTACAACAATTCAACCTACTTGGTACGAGCTGGATGCTGGGTCTTCCAGAATTTGACTGAATAGGTGGAATACTGACAGCTGATAAAGAAGGGTATCCATTTTCAAATTATACGCTAGACGATACAGCATCTTCACAATGCAGTGATTGGTGTGAGGAGTGTTCTGCCGGTAGTCCTTCAGAAGGAGGACGTATGGTTTCACAACACCAGCATTAGCAAACCTGAAAGCAATAGATAATACAATGGTGAGAAAAAGAGCGAGTGGGAGGGAGTGAGAGTGGAAAGAGAGAGCGAGCGGGGTTCAGCCATGAGAGGACAAGAAAAACGTTTTAAAAAAAGGTATTTCTGAAATGTTTTACCTCTTCAGATAATCCAGAAAATTAAATTCATTTTCTATAACTCTCACTGATTCAGTTTCCTCTTCTTCTATCTCTTCATCACGGAATTCATCAATTCCTTCAGCCTCTACAGTGGGCTGCCCTGTGGGATGCAGAGAAAAGATTTTCATGCGGCTTCAAAAAGTATTTCCAAAATTCTTAACAGCAAAATGACAGCTGCTAAAATACTTACTTGGTAACTTCGCAAACAGTATTTGTTTGAGCAACTCGGACTCCTCCTCAAGTCGCAAGTCAGAAGAACCAAAAACGTCACCTTCAGGCCATACTTCTCTGTGGGGTCAAGCATTAGATGAACAACCAGTGCACAGAAATCCTTATGGTTCAACATTCACTTTATTTCATCTAGATTACCAAGTTAATGAAAAATTGAGGCAGTTTGGAACTGGATTTAGACTGCTCAAACTCATATGACACGTCATTTATGGCCATCCAGCCGGATTTACAGCCAAACCAATGAGTGAAAGGGCAGCCTGCTAACCTACTTCACTCCTTTCTGTGTCTCTTTCAAACCAACATTTTTAATCTAATGTACAGTACAGTCCTAACACTTGTGGGGGTGACAGTCTTGGAAAAATTCACAAAAGGCAAATTTGCAAAAGCCAGACATATTTTATAATGAGTCAACTGGTTAGGTTCCAAGCAGCCAACATTTGATATGTACAGTATACAGCAGGAGTCAAAAGACAATATAAACACAATGATTTTAGTGCCTGTAAGAACGTCCTAAATGAAAAATTGTTTAATAAAATAAGAAATATATAAAATGTGTCACACTCCCCCTTGTTGCAACAATGATCCCAACAACAGCAGACACACACATGCAAACTGTCCATTAAGCAAATGGCAGACAACACTCGTGCAATGCACACTTTTTAAGTCCAGAAAATACAGCGCATCATGGACACATTCCATATCTTAGCTCTTTTTTTTTTAAAAAAAAAAAATTTAGGCATTTTATCCGGTGAACTAAAACACACCAGAAAAATCTCCACAGCAGTCAATTCTCAACTGACAACTAGATTACGTAACTATTTCCTTGATACAATGTCAATGTCATCAAGTGTGCTCTGAAAGCCCCAACTATTGCTTTATTGTTGCACTTTCTACTTAGGAAAACACATAAATGACACTGCAATAAAAGCCACTCCTATTTGTTCTACAGCAGGACTTGGGAGCAAGGTTAAACCCAGTTCCAGAGTAACTCTGTTTCGTTCCTGACTGAACTTGAAATTTTAGCAACTCCCAGAAAACACGACAAAGAGAGAGAGAAAGAGGTAAACTGAAGAAGAAACATTACAGAGAGTCATGTTCTTCAGTAGTTATACCTGTGCTCATTGACCTATATTGGTTCTTGGATCAATGCCTAAATATTACAATTTTTAATTTGTTTCAATGCCACCATACCCTTATGTCTCCCTATCACTAATCTCCTCCAGCCTGTACAACCCTCCAAGAAGTTTGCATTGCTCCAATTCCAGCCTGCCATGGAACTTGGGGGTTATCACTGACCAGAAACTCAACCTGGACTCGCCACATAAACACAGTGACTACAAAAGCAGGTCAGGGGATGGGAATCCTGCAGCAAGTAACTCACCTCCTGACTCCCCAGAGCCTGTCCATCATCTACAAGGCACAAGTCAGGAGTGTGATGGAATACTCCCCACTTGCCTGGTTGGGGGCAGCTCCAACAACACTCAAGAAGCTTGACACTGTCCAGGACAAAGCAGCCCCTGCTTGATTGCCACCTCATCCACAGACATCCACTCCCTCCACCACTGACGATCAGTAGCAGCAGTGCGTACCAACTACAAGATGCGCTGCAGAAATTCACCAAAGATCCTCAGACAACACTTTTCAAACTCATGACCACTTCCATCTAGAAGGACAAGGGCAACAGTTACATGGGGACACCAAACCATGTGAGTTCCCCACCAAGCCACTCACCATTCTGACTTGGAAACATATCGCTGTTCCTTCAGTGTCACTGGGTCAAAATCCTGGAACTCCCTCCCAAGGGCATTGTGAGTAAACCTACAGACATGGACTGTAGCGGTTCAAGAAGGCAGTTCACCACCACCTTCTCAAGGGGCAACTAGGGATAGGGCAATAAATGCTAGCCAGCCATGTCCTACGAGAGAATGCATTTTAACAACTCCCCCGATTCCATCGCTCCAACCTGATGGCCATGACTTCAGCTGGCTGGGCCCCAAGTACTTTTTTTTCCCTGAATCCCTACAGTGTGGAAACAGGCCCTTCAGCCCAACAAGTCCACATTGGCCCTCAGAGAGAAGGGTGGAATCAAACATGGGTCCCTGGCGCTGTGAGGCAGCAGTGCTAACCACTGAGCCACTGTGCTACCCTAGTTCTGGAATTTCCTCCCGAAATCCACTTCTAAGATCCTCCTCAAGATATTTTTACTAAACTTTTGTCACCAATCCTGATATTTTGGTGTAAGGATTTTTCTGATTTATTCTCCTGCGAAGCACCTTATGTTTTAGGTTTGTTGAAGGTGTCGTATAAAAACAGGTTGCTGTTTTAGTCTAGAAGCAGATTCTGGGTCTACTCTCTCGGCCAGAATGATTGTTCAGATAAACAGAGGGAGGTAAAAATACAAATCTTAACCAAACACCTCAAAAATAAAAAGCAAACAAGAAGATGTAAATTTTTAACAGGTGAAAATTACAAAACTTGCATTATATTGTCAAGTGTTGCTTTTTTGACTTTTGAGTCACTTTCTCATTCTCGCTAACTCATTCGTTCGGCAATGTAGCCACATAGTAACGTTACCTTCCGTATTTGTGTTGACATAGAAAAAAACCTTTCATTTTCACCCTCCACCCCTTGAGGCCAGTGCTCCCCCAGCAGATGGCTCAAATGGCCACCGGATAAAGCATGGCCCATCCCAAAAGGTCTGGCCCCCAGCAAAACGCACAACTCTTGGGAAAAGGCAGCTTTGGCCCCCTGGCAATTTCCTCAGTGCTACCACTTGCAGCTCCCTGGACATTTTGATGGTTTCTGGGGACAAATTTGCTTTCCAGCCCCAGGTATTTTGAGCCCTGATTCACAGGGACAAGCGTGTCTGAACACAAAAGTAGTATAAAAATTAATAACTGAAGCAAAAAGATCTGAAATATTTTGTGGGAAAGAATCATGTAATTATAGCAGTTTTATGATCTGTAGTGAAATGCAAATACTTCTCGGACTTTTTAAGTGGGTGCAATTAAGTGAGTAGAAAATTAGTATTCCCTTTGCCTTTTATTACCATCAAGACTATGGACCAATGCAGTTTTAATAAAATCACTGAAGTGGGTTCAGCATTTCAACATTTACACATTATAGCACATTGAACAAAGACAAGCTCAAATCAAAACTGATCAGCGAAAGTGATGGGATAATGTCCATATCCGACCACATTCCTGGCAAGCTTAATGGCACAGTTTCTCAATACCAGTAGCAATCATTTAATAACCATTGCAGTTTCCAATTACTTAATTACTGGATTTGTTCACTTATTAACAAGTTAAACTGCAATCATTGAACCAACAAACTTTCGCACATTATCTAACATACTAGAAATCGTAAAAATACTATGAAGATGAATGCAGCTGGGCTAATCGTTGGACTCTTAAGTTTAACAGTCCTCTGATCTGGCCAGGTTACTGACCTTTCAGTTACCTCATTGTAAAGGAGCAGAACTGAGAGACAGGTTCAATGGGATGAAATGGCATATGCCTGTACCTAGTTCACAGGATATGAACCCAAGCAAAGGTGAGTGAGGAGGTCAGGTTTTGTCCCCTTTATTTGGCAGCCAACATGATCAGAAGCTCATGTCAGGTCAGCAAAGGGCTTGGGGGCCATGGAGTTCTGTCATTTTCGCTGTTCTTTTCCAGTTCAGCTGCCCTTTGTGCTCAAAGTCAGAATGGCTGTCAGAGCCAGCCCAATGGCAATCACTGACATGTTTACCCACTGCTGGAAATAGACGTGAACCTATGAAGGTAGGATTCTAGTGGACGGTGATGTTCCTCAGCCTAGCCCCTACCTACTTTTTTGCATGATGTGGCCATATATTGCTTTGGCTTCAGCAGAACCCTCAGTTTTTTTAAAAGACTGTGGGTGCCATTTTCTAAATTAGACCTAATCAAAATCCATCAATTTTCCTGGCCAGGAACAACACAAACAGGTGCATAACCTTGCACCTTAAGCTCCAAGTCTAGAGAACGTGCCTGCTTTATCCTCCACCTCCAGAACAAAAACCGCCAATAACACCCAACAAAAAGAACTCTACTCACACAAAGCAAGCAGATACTTGGCAATCTGGTGTGCACTACTTTACCAATGATTGCTGTTGTTTTAGTACTGTCCAAAGCAGCCAATAAGGGGAGGCAATGGACAGGATCAGTCATGAGAGAATAAAGCACATGCTCAAAATGAATGTGAGAAGTAAAGCAGCAGACTCAGGAAAGCAGGAGGCAGAGGTAGGAAAAACATTTCAAATTGCGGAATTCACAGTCAAGTCATCAACAATCCGCCATTTGGCAAAAAATGCCTCATCCTCAAGGTCAGGATTTTATTAATACTTCAAAGCTCATAACAAATAGTTACCGTGCAGCTCGGAGAAGCACAAGAGCCTCTGCAGCTTTGCCAGCCAAGAGTGCATCTTGAATACGAATCATTGCTTCAGCACGCTGCTCTTCCACAGGGATTTCCAAAGCAGCATCAAATGGAACAACATCATCAGAGAGTGGCTCTTGGCCCTGGAAAACAAAACACATTCAATTCATCAGCTCAGGAAACCAGCAATTCTGTGTGCAGGAGTGGAATTGGAGGAGATGGTTCATGAGATCAAGGGGAGGTCAACAACTTACACAGTTCAAAACCTTAGTCCTTCTTGCAGAAGAACCATTAAAAGGAATACAGGAAGTTTAGATGCCAAGCATTCAACACATTTTTTAAAAAAGTGAAGTACCACTGCTGTGCGGTAAGGATTTGTGCCAGCTTTTCACTTTTGACACCAGTCCAATCAAGCAGTTCCTATATTGCTTTGTTCCCCCTTTCATTCAAAAACCCGAGCCTATGTTAACACTTAACTCAAGATATTGCCCTTAGGTTTCACACCTTTCTCCTACTCTCTAGCTGTGGTGCAGCAGTCAAACTCCCACATCAGTTCAAAGGTCAGTGACTCAAGACTTGTTAGGATTTGAGCACAAAACCAGGTTGTCACTTTAGTACTTCATCTAGAAGGTGCTGTACTGTCAGAGGTGCAATCTTTCAAACCAAACATTAACCAAAAGGGGCATCTTCCTTCTCGGGCAGATAATAAAAGCCCAAATGGCACTGTTTTGAAGAAGCGCTGAGGAGGGTTTTCCCCAATTTTCCTGGGGTCAATATTTATCAATCAACATCACTACAACAAATTACCTGGTTGCTGATCACAATATTTGAGATTTTGCACAACTTACCTTCCCTACATTGAAATAATGACTACATTTCAAATGTACTTTAGTTAATGTGAAACACTTTGGGACACCATACGAGAGGAAAAGGCATTTTTATAAAAATGGAATTCCTTTCTTTATTTCTTTTAGTTATACCTACGTCTCCTCACTCTAGACCCATTAATCACGATAAAAACCAAGTTTGATCCTTGGTCGGCTTTGAATTGATTGCAGCAATGAGGATCCTGGCACTAAGAGGATCCTGGCCCTGATCACTGAGCAGTGATCTCTGCTGTAAAGTACAGCATGGACATCAGGGGAGGTCTCAATCCAACTGGACTGTTATGTTTATTGATTGGCAAATATCCTGCTGACATTTACTGTCTAAATTCATAAATGAAAGATGGTTATTTAGGTTTGGCACTGAAGGACATCTAATGCCTGTGACACCATACTTCAGTACATCTTAGAACCTTTGGGGAAAACTTATACCAAGTGAAGAAATGTCCCAACTCTTAACCATACCACTCAACAAATAGATCGGTCTGTTCTTCAGCAGCACTGATTATTACAATTGCCTAATCAAAGAAGATTTCAACTATATTAGGTACATACCTCTGCACACTTGTCGAGCTCCTCCAATGTCAGTTTCCAGATTTCCTCGAGTTCTTCTTGGGATTTTTCTGATGAAGTAGAAGCAAGCTTCTTTGATTTTGACTTCTTCCTTTTGAACTTCTTTTTCTGTTTTAACAAACAGGAATAATTAAACAGTTGTGTCAGCAGCAACAACATTCCTCAGGCCTTTCATTTCTAACCTCTTCGTGGTCTCTCACCACTCCTCCTTACCTATGCAACCCCTACAACTCTCCAGGATCTCTGAACTCTTTCAATTCTGGATTCTTGCACATCCCCTCAATTTCCATCGCTCCACAGCCGGCGGATGCATCTTCAGTTGCAAGGGCCCCAAGCTCTAGAATGCCCTTCCTAAACCCCTCTCTCCCCTCTAAAATGCTCCTTAAACGCAACTTTTGACCAATCTTCCGTCACCTGTCCCTAATATCTCCTTGGGTGACTCAGTGTCAATATTTCGTCTGATAAAGGTCCTGTGAAGTGTCCAGGGGATGTTTTACTATGTTAAGGGTGCTGTATCAATTAAAGTTGCTGCTGCTGTTGATTCCATCCTTGTTTTCAGCCATCTTACAAATGAAGCTATAGGAATATATGGGAGAAGAATTGATGAGCTCCAGAGTTGCACATTCTTTATACAGAAATTTACCTTACAGCAAGCTCGCCAGATAACACTGCAGGTCAATGAACTGTGTGGTTCTGAGGTAGATTTGGGTAATTCTTGGTCTGTGCTGAACTTTCTGACCTCAGCTTACTGGTTGGAAGAACAAGCCAAGTTTTCTGCATGGATACCAGGTGACGACAGGACTAGGCTTGATTATAATGTCCTCTAGTCAAAACCCATTGGTATGATTTAAGGGGTCAGGGGATGTTACTTAGTACTCCGGAAGAGACTCTACATCTTCAGGAAAGGATGCAGCTTAAAAACTTGCCCTGAAAGCTAGTTTAGGAGACACATAATTTAGAAAAATGTGTAAATTCTGTAAAATGTAAAAGCACAATATGCAAGCCAAACACAAACATTACCTGCACAAAAAGGTTGCTCCGGCCTTTACAGAATTTCTCAATCATCTGGATGAAAAGGTGGGTTGTTTCAATGAGATCCTTCAGGAATGACTTGGGTTGCTTGGTTGCATCATATTTTCGGAACAATGTTAAGAACAACTCTCGGAACTCCATAACGTAGAAGATATTACCTGCAAATGGAACAAGTTGTACAATCAGTCATCAGCCAACTGGATATGCAGATTTCCAAATGAAACCCATTTTCTTTGATAGTCAAGCTTTTTTTCCCCCCACACAACCCTTTTATGTAAATTGTTTCGATCATTTTTCCTTAACCCTTTCTGCTCAAAGGAGAACAATTTCAGTTTCTCTAGTTTCTGTGCTAGTCCTTTGTTTTAAGTGTCAACTCACGAACGATGTTGACTGAGGTTTGCTTAAGTGGGACAGGGTGGGGAGGGGAAACTCCTCTTTACAAATGAAAAAAGTATCAACTATTGGCTTGTTAATGAAGAAATTATCCTGAAAAGAAAAGGCCAAGACTCTCATCTAATAGTCATTCATCTTACACTGGGTGATCTCCAACTGCTGCACCATTAATACAGCTGTTAAAAACATGCGAGGGCATCATCCTCATAAGCAACTAGCTAACACCATATGGAAGCTCCCAACAGTGGTACAACTGAGATAAGTAACTTAGTAAAGGAATGAGGGAGAGGGAGAAGAAAGGATCATGACAGCATGCCCTGCATCTCAATGACGACAACACTGGTACTACCTCGTGAAACAGTAAGACAAAAGCTTCCAGTGAATCTTTATAAACTAGAACTACAGATGTACAAAACAAAATCACATTATTTCAAGATGAAAAGTTATCACCTTGCACCACATCTACTTTTTCAATAGGTTTCTAACTACAAGCTTTCTCCCTACAAACTACATGACCTTTCTCCCTCACCACAACCTTCATCTACTGAAAAGCCCCACCGTCTCAGTGATGTGAGTGCATCAAAACGCAGGAATATCATATGGCACCAGTTTTAGTTCTAGTGTGGCGTTGCATATTGTACACAAAGCAGCCTCAACTTGATGGAATCACAGCTGAACCAAGATCCCAAAGCTTTTGTGGCAGGATATTGGCATTTTGTGATATTATTCATAACCTGAACTCAGACAAGATTTATAACCGAAAGTCATGCCTCTAATTACAATGTAGTGATTTTGGCTGGCAATTGTGAAAACTCAGTGAACACTGGGTTCAGCTGCAACCGCATTTGCAAGCAGTGTTGGAACTGATGGCAAGACAAGGACCAGGACTGCCAACTAATACAGATTCCAAAACCAGACACTCCCCAGGAATGGGAGGATGCAACTTGCAGTTTTTCCTTAAGGGCTATTTGTCCCTCTGATCATTTACATCCCTCTCCCCTTCCCTTTCGAACCCACACCTCAATCAATATTACATTGTACAGTCTAGACTGAGCTGGGACAATTCAGAAACTCCAAACTGAACTGAGTATTGAACTGACCCCAAGTTTGTAAAGGCACTGAGAGGGCCCTGGATGTAACTTGTTACAATAGCAATAACAAACCATAAGACATGTAGCGTTACCTATTGAGTTATGTAAAGAAGACATCCAACTGCTGACAATCTGTTACACACAAAGAGACACCAGCACATACCCTTTGAGTCACTCCAACAACCAGATCCCAACAGATGTCACAATGTAAGGCATACAATGACAACTTCCTGGGCTAGGTTTACACATGAATAATGGGCATGAGGTGCCAGAGCACACCACAGAACCATATCAAAAGCAAAGGTTAGCTACTTGAGGGCAGGGTGGAATGAACATTCCATTTTACAGATTTTCAGGTCATAGAATCATAAAATCTCTACAGTGCACAAAGAGGCCATTCAGCCCATCAGGTCCGCACTGACCCTCTGAAGAGCATCCCACACAGACCCACCCCCTACCTTATCCCTGTAATCCCACATTTCCCATGGTTAATCCACCTAGCCTGCACATCACTCGATACTACGGGACAATTTACCATGACCAATCCACCTAACCTGCACATCTTTGGATTGTGGGAGGAAACCGGAGCACCCGACGGAAACCCAGGCAGACACGGGGTGAATGTGCAAACTCCACACAGACACCTGAGGCTGAAATCAAACCCGGGTCCCTAGCACAGGTCCAACATCTGTATACCTTGTAAACTGAATTTTTATGGCATCTTAAAGGAAACCTACATTTGATAACTCTGGCACTCTCTCTCAGATTTTCATCCTTGGAGTGGTCCATTTCATTGATTGTGTTGAGCAGTTCTTGGTAAGCTTTCAGCGCAAGATGCATTCTGAAAGAAAAGGAGAGTTGTTTTAAAGTATTAACTTGTCACTTTTTTTTGGTTGCATATTGGATGATACAAACAACAGTAGCAAGACCCACAGATAATGAAGACAGTTGGCTCACCAATGTCACCTTGGCAATTACTGGGAGTATAGAAATATTTGAAGAAATTGCACTTTTGGCACTAAGTGAGGCAAAGATTTTCTCTCACATAATTTGAGCCAGCAACCAGAGAAGGCTCCATCTTAAGAGGTGTTTTAGAAGGGATGGAATGGTAGGTGATGATACAATCAGGGAGACAGCTATAGTGTAAAGTCAAAAAGAATTACTCAATGCTACTCCATTACTTCAATGCAAACTCACACTGCCTGGTGTAGAACTGAACAAAAGGCCAAGAAAGTACCTGGTCAAATCCAATTTGTGCTAACAATATTAGGACAACACTAGAAACACAATGACTGGATGGAACAACCTTGGATTTAAAAAGTGTCATGGCTTTCACCTTGGTAATGAAAAAGAAGACTAGCACAGGACCTGAGATAACAAGGTGTAAGCTGGATGAACACAGCAGGCCAAGCAGCATCAGAGGAGCAGGAAGGCTGATGTTTCGGGCCTAGACCCTTCTTCCTACTATCTCTAGCACAGGACCTTACCCCACAAAAAACTTAAGTGAAAATGGCATAAAACTGGACAAGGAAAATATAAATAACAATATGATAAATGCAAAAGAATAGAACTTAGGAGAAGCTAAACGTGCCCAATATTTCATCTCTGCCCCAATAACATTAATAGAAATGGTTGATAAACAGAGATTTCAATAGTTAGTATTAATCCACCATACCGTCTTGACCAGGAACCAGCTGCTGCCTTGTCAGTCAGCATCATTTCATAGTAGTTGGTAATATTTCGCTCCACAAAATGAAACGCTCGAATGGTGACTGTCTCCGACACTAGCTCAGGACGGAACTGGTATACCCGATTGAACTCCATGAAGAATGACACTGCCCAGAGGTAGTAGGTTTCGTCGTACTGTTGTGCCTTCTCACGAATGAGGTTGTCCTGGAAATGGAAGAAGTACACTCTGATACATTAGAAGTCTCTGCATTCATCTACAATTCCTGTTTTTAGTTGCATCTTTCAGTCATGTCTACCTGGGAACATTCAAAGTAAGTCAAGTTACTGAGTTCTTCCAGCTCCAAGAAAGGTCCACTGCACTCTTTATGTTAGAGTTAGATGGCCTCATCCAGCTCTCTCTTTGAGCAGTTGCCCTTACCAGATTATTTAGACCTCACTAATAATAGCGAGGACAAAGCAAACACACTTTAAAAAAGAATTCTAATAGCAGAACTTTCACATCAGCTACAGACCTCAAACAAAGCTTCTTCGAATAAAACTTCTCAGTTCACTAATATTTTCTAAAATGTAAACCTTCCAGAGGAGGGAGAGGTTACTATCCTGTTCCTCAAGATTAGTGTCCAGGGCTCTTCCATCGTCAACATCTTGATCAATGACTTTCTCTCCATTATGGTCACTGATGATTACATAACATTCAATATCATTCGCAACTCCCGATATCACAACTCAGATATTGAAGCAGTACAAGTCCAAATGCAGCAAGATCTGGACATTATCCAGTTTGAGCCGACAAGTGGCAAGTAACATTCATGCCACACGAGTGCCAGGCAACAACCATCTCCAACAAGAGTGAATCTAACCATCACCCTCTTGATATTCAATGCCGTTATAATCACTGAATCTCCCATTATCAACATCCTGGAGGTCACCATTGATCAGAAACTAAACTGGACTTGCCATATAAGTACTGTGGCTACAAGAGTAGGTCAATGGCTGGAAATCATGCAGTGAGTAGCTCACTTCCTGACTCTTCAACGCCTGTCCATCATCTACAAAGAGCAAGTCAGGAGTGTGATGGAATAATCCTCATTTGCCTGGATAAATGTAACTCCAAAAACACTCAAGAACCTCAACACCATCCAGAACAAAGCAATCCACTTGACTAACACTACATTTACAATCATTCACTCCCTCCACCACTGCTCAATAGCAGCCATGTGCACTACCTCCAAGACGCACTGCGGCAATTCACTAAGGTTTCTTAGAAAGTACCTTCCAAACCTGTAACCTCTACCCCCTAGAAGGACAAGGATAATAGATGTCTTCTTCTTATAAAATAATAGTTTTCATGCTTCTTCACATCTCAAACTTACCTTTACTACATACATGAGTCGGTTGTAACAGTTTTCTAAGAAATCAAGACAGAATTCCTTCAGGAACAGTCTGACATTCAGAGCAGAACGATGTTTCTTCTCCACCTCTTTTGCTGCTTGTTTTCTTTTTGGTACTCTGTTTGTCTTCTTGCCAGTGTCATGGCTGTAATTTTTCAACTAAGAAAATGCATAAATCAAACATTAAATGTTGAAGCTGATCAGGTAGAGTGAAAAATTAATGTACAACACCTCCTATCCAGCCTGGATTCTTCACACTCAGTTCCAGACGATCAATGCCCTAAAAGTGTGGCTCTGGCCAAGTAATTTTATCAGTGTTTTACAAGGGTTGAGCTGTATGTTTAAGGCCCCAGCAGTGCACGCTACCCATCAATGGACCTGAGCCTCGCCTCATGACTTTGAGTGAGCAGGCTGCCCTCCTATGGGGAGAGAGTGCACAGCTTGTAACACAGTCAGCGTTCAACTTCTGAGTAACTTGCTTAAGCAAATTTTGATGACAATGACAGATTTCTATGATGTCAGAGGAACCATAATATTCATTGTATTTTTTGATTTTTTTTTAACTGCAATATAGGAAAACACATCACCCAATGTGATACAGAACCTACCAATCAAATGGGGTGCCAAAGGGGATAAAGAAAATTGAGACAAAATTCTTGCCCCAGATGATTATTTTGTTATACCCAATATAAAGATGGAGAGCATACATATCTGGTGAGTAAGGATTGGGTTCAGCTGTGACTCTCACTTTCTGAACTTGCATGAAGAGTTTGGGAGAAAAATTATTTTGGAACATATGCCAGTTACAGAATCTGCATCATGGGACTTCAATTATGCTTTTTACTCTTTTTTTCTTAAAAACAGCACACATTCCTAGGGAATAATACAATACAACCAACTGTCAAAGGAATTGTTAAAACTCTTAGTAAATATTAACAACCACAAGCAATATAAATAATATTAAATGCAGATTTTTCACTTACATTAAAGAATCTCAGATTTGAAATTACAAGTCATCAGTAATTCTCTCAATCAAAGACAGTTTAAAAACCCACTACCAACAACACATCAAATCAAGATTGCCATCTTTTGTGCAATCTTGACTTGGTTTGAAAATTCATTCAATGTTGAGAGCATCACTGTCAAGATCAGCATTTATTGTCCATTTCTAATTGCCCTGGAGAAGGTTGTGACTTTTGTATTAAATGTTTGCTACCAACTCTTTTTTTTTTGCAGATTGATAACAATCAAAATAAAAACTAAGACCTAACCCTGGAGTACTGCATCAAAACTTTCTGAAGTATTAATGCTCAGACATTGTTTGCTATACTGTCTCTTACCCTACTGAACCGGTTAGCATAGCTGTAAGTGGGAACACAGGAAACAGTTTGTAAAACACCTATATACAGGTAACATTTTTACTTACTTTGTGGATACCCATGTGGCAAACAACATCTCTGTCTGCAATTGACTTCAAGCCTTGTATGAGGTATGTACCGCCAAAACGAGAATGCCTAAAACAAATAAAGTTACATTTGGTAAAGAAGAAATCACATTCTCAAAAAGGTTTCCACCTCAGTATCTGTGCCCTTTTTTGAATCAATCATCTGTTTGTTTGGGGACAAAGTAAAGCAGCAAGGTTCACAGTGGGGCGGGAAGAGCAGGGACAGAAGAAAGTGTTGCTAGTTTCTGACCTGCTTGCGTTCTTAGTAACTGCTGCTCATACTAGAAAGGCACAGGGGGAAAATATATCACAAAGAAATGTTAAGTGAGGTTTCTTTTCCTATATAGAAGCCTGAATGAGGACTTGTTACCTGGTCCATCACTCCACACCCTAACAGCCCGCATTAGGAAGAATGGACAGCAATCCACTTGCGATATTTATCACTTAGTACATCAAGGTCAGTGAGGCTCGTCAATTAATTTAGGAGAGGACGTGACTGAGTTTGTTTTCCCTGATCCAACAAGTCAACAATTCTGGAGGAGGAACAATTTTGAATGCAAAAATTCAAATATCTCAATGAATGGATCTCTCTCAAAGGTTTACTATATCACAGTACAATGGTTTAAGAGCACAATTACAAAAGTACATAATTTGCCAATGCTAACACTTTTTACTGTTACTTATGTCAACATTTTGTCAGCTTGGTTAAAGATCCTTCCAATAGGAGACTTTAAGAAAAAGATATTTCCTAATTTTTAAAAAAATTAATTCATCAGATGTGGATACCGTTGGCTAAGCCAGCATTTATTGCCCAGAGGGCATTCAGAGTCAACCACATTGCTGTAGGTCTGGAGTCACATGTAGGCCAGACCAGGTAAAGATTGCAGTTTCCACCCCTAAAGGGTGTTAATAAGCCAGATGGATTTTTCCCTGACAATAATAACGGTTTCATGGTCATCATTAGACTCTTAATTCCAGACTTTTTATACTTACATTCATAATCGATTCTGCTGCCCATGTCTTAACTCATAGCAAGTACCATTGCCCTATCACCCCATGCTTTCTGATCTACTGTGGCTGCTGGTCAAGCAACACCTTGATTGTAAAGGTCTTGTCCATGTGTTCAAATCCATGTCCTTGTTCCTCTCTACCTCTAACCTCTTCCAGCCCCACAACCCTCCACAGTATATGTACACCTCTTGATTCTGGCCTTTTTGCACACCCAGTTGTAATTGCTTCACCACTGGGGGCCAGTCCTTCAGCTGCCTAGGCCACAAGTTCTAGATTTTCCTCCCTGCACCACTCCAGGTCTCTATCTCATTTCTACGGTGCTAGCACTTGAAGGGAATGCAGGGAAAACACATGAAATTAACATGGAGGTTCCACTCTACTACTTGTGCTTTTTCAAGTCAAGCACGTCACTCCGGTTTGTGTAAAGGGCCCTCTGCAACTCAAAACCTGGTTAATATTTCACCCATCTGGATTCTCACCTGGTTCCTCTTTCAAAGGTTCTTTGCTTCTTCGCTGCTAACTCTCTCTGCTTTAAGATTTCAAGCTCTCTGGACTCCTTTTCTTTCTGCTCCGTAGTTTTTGCTTGCCCTGTCATGGCAAGTTGGTCAGGTTTCTATAGGAAAAATTCCCAAATTAATCGCTCTATTCAAATTCTTCACTCCATTTGCCAAAAATCGAACAGTGATCAACAACTTTATTTTTTCTGCACCATTCTTAAAATGATGACTTTTGTGCTGGTAACCTCAGTTGGTACGTACATAATTAAGTATGCTACGGAGTCACAAACAGCAGGTCCCTCGGTTCAATACTTGACTGCCACCAGTCTCAAGAAAGGGCAGTGAAAAAATATAACGATTTGCCTCAGTACCTGAACAAGATTCAGGGATGGCAAAACAAAAACATAACAAATTAAACAAACATTCTCTCCTACGACCACATGGGAACCTGTTTCCAGCCCTTTGTTAATGTCACTCACTACTGAAAGATACTCAAAAGCAGCTCAGGGCAATTCTCTCCTTAAGTGGAACACAAAGGAGGAAAAACTTGTATTTATGTAGCGCATTTCATGACATATGTCCCAAAATGCTGACCATCTAATTGAGCCCAGTGAAGTGTAATCACTGTTGTAAAGTAGGAAATGCAACAGGCAATTTGTACAGAACAAGATCCAAAAACACAGATAATGACCACATCATCTGTTTTTTTTGGTGTTGATTGAGGGATTGGATTTGGGCACTGGGGATAACTCTCCAGTTCTTTAAAATCTTGCCATAGAATTTTTTGCACTCTCACTAATTAGACTGTTTTCCCTTCTGCCCCAGATCATATCCAGTACTGACCTGATCTCTGAACATGAGGGAGATTATTTCCAGAATGTGCATGGCCCACTGTTGCTCCTCCTGGGAAGTTGCCAAAAACTTAATGAGATCATCCATCCCACTCATGTGCATTGCCCATAATACCTTGTCATGCACACTGGCGTCATCATCAATATTCTTTTTGGAAACAAAAACAGGCACAAACAACAGGAAATGTTTACAAAATTACACTCAAGATTGATCACTCAAGTAGTAAAATATAATTGAGATGTGATGTTATGATGTTGAATAGAGTCTGCTTGTTAAGTTGCATGCATGCTCTGTTTTTAAAAATTCATCTCAGCCATTTTCACCTTTTACCTAGCAACAAAGTAGTTCTGGCTATGAAACAAAACTGAAAATGCTGAAAATCAACAGCAAATCAGTTAGCATCTGTGGAAAGAAACAGAATTAATGTTTTAGACTGAGACAACCTTTCATCAGAATCGTTCATGTTACAGTCATACAGCACGGAAACAGAACTGTCAGCGCAACTCGTCCAAGCCGATCAAGTTTTCCACAACTAAACTAGTTTTCCTGCGTTTGGCCCGTATCCTTCTAAACCTTTGCTATCCATATATCCCTCCAAATGTCTTTTGAATGTTGGAACTGTACCTGCATCTACCACTTCCTCTGGCAATTCGTTCCAGATATGAACCATTGCGTGTGCGAAAAAATTTCCCCTCAGGTCCCTTTTAAATCTTTCTCCTCTTACATTAAAATTATGCCCTCTAGTTTTAAACTCCCCTACCCTAGGGAAAAGACCTTTGCACTCACCTTATCTATGGCCCTCGTGATTTTAGATCTCCAGGACAAAAAGTCTCAGCCTCTCCCTACAACTCAAACTTTCCAGTCCCGATAACACCCTGGTAAATCTTTTCTGCATCCTCTCCAATTTAATAACATCCTTCCTATAGCAGGGCGACCAGAACTGTATGCAGTACTCCAAATGTGGCTTTACCAACGTCCTGTACAGCCGCAACATGATGTCCCAACTCCTATACTCAATGCTCTGACCAATGAAGGCAAGTGTGCCAAACACCTCCTTCACCAACCTGTCTGCCTGTTACGCCACTTTCAAAAAACTATTCTGACAATGCTGTGGCTTTACGAGGTTATTCTGTCCTGCTTTTTTTTTTTTTAGAAAGAAAGACAGTGTTATGGGGGTGCAGGTGCTGAGAAGTCTATGAGAAGATAAACAACTTGTGAAGCCTTGGCTGTTTTTTTCCCCCCGAAAGCTGGAACACTAGAAGCAGCCTGAATGGGCGTTGTCAAGTTCCCATCCACAGAATCAAGGATTTTTAGTTTTTAGTTTTCAGCAACAGTTGCTGTTGGGTCTTGAAGAATTGGAAGCTATTTTTCCCTCTCTCGATTACAGCCAGAAGCTGAGGGTTCTCTCCCGGGCTGCTGGATTACAGGCGAGGCAAATCAGTTTTCTGAATTTGCCTTTTGCCAAGGGTGTGTTTATGGGATGTTACTATATTGGAACAGTTAATTTGTAATAGTTACTGTATCTATTATTCTGTTAAGTCTTCCAATAGAGCTGATATTCCACGTTCTTCTTTTTTTTGTTGTATTTTAACTATAGTGCTTGAATAAACTGTGTTTTGCCTAACGTCGAGTAGTTTGACTAATCAAATTGCATCTGGAACGCAGTACCTGACATTCACCTTTAAAATAAGAAAAAGTTAGGGTGTAGGCTACCTTCTTAATGTATTTTGAGGGAGTGTGGTCTAGTCCATAATACTACGTACCTGAACCCCTAGATCTTTCCATTTGAGAACACTATCCAGGGCCCTACCATTAATTGTACAAGTCCTACCCTTGTTCATCTTACCAAAACGCAACACCTCGCATTTATCAGAATTAAACTCTGTCTGCCACACCTCAGCCCTTTGGCTGAGTTGATCAAGATCCCATTGTACTCTTAGATAACCTTCTTCATTGTCCACTGTACCACTAATTTTGGTGTCATCCGCAAACTTACTAACCATCTTCCTACATTCTCATTCAAATCATTTTTATAAATGACAAACAGTGGACCCAGCACTGAGCCCTGCGGAACATTGCTGATCACAGGCCTCCAGTCTGAAAAATGACCCTCCACCACCATTGTGTTTCCTTTCATTAAGCCAATTTTGTAACCAAATGGCAAGGTCTCCTAGGATCCCATGTGATTTAATTTTACTAACCAGTCTACCACGTGGAACCCTGTCAAAGGCCTTGCTAAAGCCCATGTAGACAACATTTACCACTCCTCTTGGTCATGTCCTCAAAAAATTCAATCAAGCTTGTGAGACATGATTTCCCTTGTTCCTATAGCTTGAACTTTAACTCATTGGTTCACAGGTATTTAGGACAGATCATGTTGATAGGTAATTGAACTTATCACATTGTTAAGTCCTTCAACCTGTTCACGAAGCTACTTGTATCGAAAGCACCCGTAAGCAACTGCCTTCAAGAGGCAGGGAATAGTCAGCCAATTCACTTTTTTGGGAGACAACAACAGAATACCGTTTTGTTTTAACTACAACATAGAAATTAATATATTAGCTTGTCCATCTTTTAACCAATGAGTAATGAATAACAGAACAAACATAGTCAAACAACAAAAGGACCAAAAAGGAAAACAAAGGGTCTTGAAGGCTATTGGCTAGTTGTTACAACAGACCTTCTCCTCCTCAGGTTCAGGGGGTACATGTAGAACATTTCGAACTAGCAACAGGATCCTTTCAATCAGTAGGTTATCCTCCTCCTGCCTCTGCTCCCAATCCTGTTACACAAACATCATCTGTTAAGTAGGGAGAAAAGAACCTCACAACCAAGCAGCATTTTTTTTTCTGATAGCAAACAAACAGTTCAATCCTGTCCTCAATGGACATCCACATGCAGAGTCTCCAGCAAGGGTCAATGAATGGTAATCAACAGCAGAAACACGGGGCCAGGTTCCTTCTCTCTAACCCCGAGAAGTTGAAGCCAACTGTAGGAGCCCGACTGCTGTGCTGCCTAAGATACATACCAACCAAAAACAAAACCTGTATGTGGTTGAGGAGCATAGCAGTTGGTGTTTTTAACCCACGAGATCATTTTTCTTTTTTTACACTTTTAAATAAAGCTGTATTTTCACTTACCAGCTGTAAGAGATCATAGAGTTTTTCACTGAGCACTCCAAACACCTTTTCATCTGCAAAAGCCTACAACATAAAAACAGTGGTTTAACTACATTTGACATTAGAGGTGCTTCAAAAATAAAAATTGCAATTAAGTTAATTAATTGGGGTAGTGAGCTAGAATTCAAGCCCTGCTATTCTTGGAGATGTCACAAAAGTTACAGATCTTAAAGAAGTACTTAATATTTCTTAATTTACCAGCCTTTTTAGATCCAAGTTGATAGAAAGCAAGGACCAGATTTCTGTGCTTAAGAAGAATTACTATCTATTACAAGTAAATAGATTTTAGTCACAGGTTAACGATTATGAACCGTCCTTTCCAGCAGTCCAAATGGTCCTGGGCTATAGTGTTCATACCCATAAGCTGTTCAGATAACTGGGAACAAATTTCAGTTTATTTTTCTTTATCCATTCAAAGGACAAGGGCGTCACTGACTATTGCCCAGAGGGCAGTTAAGAGTCAACCACATTGCTGTGGATCTGGAATCACATGTAGGCCAGACCAGGTAAAGATGGCAGTTTCCCTCCCTAAAGGACATTAGTGAACCAGATGGGTTTTTCCAACAATCGACAATGGATTCGTGGTCTTAATCAGAATCTTAATTCCAGATTTTTTAAAATTGAATTCAAATTCCACCATCTGCCGTGGCGGGATTCGAATGCTGGTCCCCAGAACATTATCTGGGTATCTGGATTAACAGTCCAGCGATAACCAATCACCTACTTGTTACTGGCCCAGTCTCACTGGTACACGCTTCCTTGTGCCATTTCATCTGCAACTAAACTTGCCCCACTGGTTGAAGAAACAACAGTGTATACAGCATTGACAGTAGCATGGGTAGCTTGCTTTTTGAAAGCCTTCCACAATTCTCGGTTTTTAAAGTAGTTCCTTACCCATTTCAGTCCACAATCAAAAATAGAGAAAAAAAGTCTTCACAATTTCCAGACTAAATAACCCAACTGAAAGTCACTGGATTCCTCAATATGATTTCTTAATTTCTGACAAGTTAGGTATTATTCCTGACCAGGTGCCCCACCTCTGGTCACTCTTTCAGAGGACTCTGTTGTGACGAGTTGTTGAATGCTGCTCAAAGTATGAATCAGGAATGATTTGCCCTTCCCCCCGCCTGGTGAGCCAGCACCAGAGCTCCAGCCATTGACTCACATCATCCACCAAAACACAGTTGAGCTCAGCAATTCTCCTGGCTGTACTTGACAGACATATAGCGGTCTCCTCCTACATTATGGGAGCATTTTAGATCGGAACTTTGATGGGTGTTATTGCCTTGCGCAAGTGTATAGCCTTCATGAGGGTCAATGCAGCAAATGTTGGTAGGCTATTCAACCATGTATAACACCATCAGCAAGCTTTACAGAGTCAGGAAGGAGAGATCACATCTCGAGTGAGCGTATAGTTCTGGGAATTTGGTGGTAATGTGGGAATTTCGTGCAGGGGGGGAAAAGGTATTTTTTGCTTGCTTTTTTTTGGCTCATAATTTAAGGGTTATTTTTTAAACAGGATAACCGAAGCCCAGGATTGGGGCCCAGCACAAGACTGATATCACACGTAAACCGTAAGTTCACTGGTTGGGGATAGCAAGTAATTTGACTATTTTGGGTTACTTTCAGATTGAAGGTAAACAGGCGAATATTTACAGGTTACAAACCAAAAGTCCACAGGAGATTTATAAAAATCATATTAATAACTAAGTAATTAAAATAGAGATGCAGGGCCAGGCGATGTATCGTAATTGCATGGGAGCTGGTGGACCCTACTGTGGTTCACAGTGACCACACCTGTAGCAAGTGTTAGTTGTTTGAGAAATTCTGGCTCAGAGTTGATGAGCTGGAGTCTGAGCTTCAAACGCAGAGATAGATTAGGGAAGAGAAGGGTTACCTGGACACTGTGTTTCAGGAGGCAGTCACACTGCTTAGATTAACTACCTCAAATTCAATCAGTGGTCAGGGACAGGAGGGGTGCGACTACGAGCGAAGCAGGTAGAGGGATCCAGGAAGGTAGTGTTGAAGGAACCTCAGCCTTTGAACTTGTCTCACAGGTTTGAGATTCTTGCTCCCTGTATGGACAAGAATGGGGTCTATAGGGAGGATAAGGAAACCGACCATAGCATCATGATACAGGGAGCCATTCAAGAATGGGGAGAAGAGAAATATAGTTGTAATTGTGGATATCATATTCAGGGGAATAGACACTGTTTTCTGTGGCCAGGATCAAGAGTCCCAAAGGCTGAGATGCCTGTCAAGTGCCTGGGTTCAGGATATTTCATCTGGGCTGCAGAGGAACTTGGAGTGAAGGGGAAAGATCCGGTTACTGTGATCCATGTAGGTACCAACGATATAGGCAGAAAGAGGTTCTGCTGAGGGATTACGAGTGGCTAGGGGTTAAATTAGAAAGCAGAACCAAAAAGATGATAAACTCTGGATTACGACCTGAGCCACAAGCGAATTGGCACAAGGTCAAAAAGATTAAAAAGGTAAACTTGTGGCTCGAAAGATTGGTGAGAGAAAAACAGGTTTGATTCTTTGAACATTGGCACTAGTACTGAGGAAGGAGAGAGCTGCTCCAATGGGATGGGCTCCATCTGAAGCAGGCTAAGACCAGAGGTTTTTTTTTGGGGGGAGGTGGTGTCAGCAGAGGGAGAAGTTTCCACATCAAGCAATAGGACAGAGTATAAAAACGATCAGGAATCTAACTTCAGGCACAACAGATAGACGGACAAACATGAGAAGGGGGGCAGTCAACACAGGACTGAGGGTGTTGACTTAAATGCACTCACTGTATGAAACAAGGTAAATGAGCTTGTAGCACAGATTGCAATTGGCAGGTACACTATTGTGGGTTTCACAGATGTAGCTACAAGGGGATCAAGGCTGGGAACTAAGTAGGACCGGCAGAAGGGGAAGGGTTGTCTTGTCAGTAAGAAATGAAATGAAATTATTTCGATGCAAGAAGTGATTATAGAGTCTGAAGGTGTCGAATCTGCGTGGGTAGAGTTGTGGAACCGCAAAGGAAAATGACCTTAATGTGAGTTATCTACAAGCCTCCCAGCAGTAGTCAGAATGTTGGGCAGAAAATAACTCAGGGGATAGAAAAGATACGTAGGAAAGACACTATTACAATAATCATGGGGGGTTTAAATATGCAGGTGGACTGGGAAATTCAGGTTGGTACTGAATTTCAATAGAAGGAGTTTGTGGAATGTCTACAAGATATTTTTTGGAGCAGCTTGTGATACAGCCCACTATGGAACAGACAATCCTGGATATAGTGATGTGTAATGAGGCAGACTTGATTAGGGAGCTTAAAATGAAGGAACCCCAAGGGGCAGTGACCATAACATGATCGAATTCACCCCGCAGTTTGAGGGAGAGAAGCTGGAATCAGATGTAACAGTATTACAATTGAGTAAACGTAACTGCAAAGACATGAGGGAGGAGCTGTCAGAGTTGATTGAAAGGGGAGCCACGCAGGGAAGATGGTGCAGCAATGGTAGGAGTTTCTGGGGGTAATTCAAAATGAACAGCAGAAATTCATCCCAAGGGAGGATGAGGCAACCACGGCTGACAAGGGAGGTCAGGGGTTGCATAAAAGCAAAAGAAAAAGGGTACAATGCGGTGAAGATTAGTGGGAAGCCTTTAAAAACCAGCACAGAGGGTAAATAAAAAAAAAACAATAAAGGGGGGAGAAGATGAAATATGAGAATATGCTAGCTCGTAATATAAAAGATTTCAAGAGTTTATTTAGATATCTAAAAAGGTAAGAGAGAGCCAAGAGTTGTCACTGGCCTGCTGGAAAATGAGACTGGAGAAGCAGTAATGGGGAACAAAGAAATGGCAGAGGAACTGAATAAGTACTCAGCATCGGTTTTCACAGGGTAAGACACCAGCAGCATACCAGAACATCAAGAGTCAGGGGACAGGGGTGAGTGTAGTGGCCCTTATGAAAGAGAAGGTGCCAGGGAAGCTGAAAGGTCTGAAGGTGGATAAATCACCCAGATTGAATGGGCTAAACCCCAGAATCATAGGAGTAATACAACATGGAAATAGGCCCTTTGGCTCAAATTGATCCATGCTGGCTGTGGTGCCCACTCAGCAAGTTCCAATTGCCCATATTTGGTCCATATCCCTCTAAACCCTTCCCAT